GGTGAGGCTCTGCCTCACCTGCCTCCCCTGACCGCACATCACTGACATAAAGATACAAGTAACTACAGGGAGATACTGATAACTAAAAGTAACTACGGGTAACTGCAGGTAGAAATAGGTAACTAGAGGTAACTACAGGGAAATAAAAGTAATTACAGGGAGATACAGCAAACTACAGGCAAACTACGCATGCGTTAGGGCGCAACACCCCGTCTGGAGGGGGCGGCGCGCCAATGATGTGTTCGCATGCACTTCAGCGCGCCTTACGCTCCTTCACCTCGCGCCCATAACGAGGCAAATGTAGCGAGTTTTACCCTTCATGTATCGTCGTCTTTGGGGGTAGGGGGGTAAAGCGAGCGTATGTTTTCTACGCTACTTCACCCTTACACGTACCTTTCTTCTGGGGGGAGAGAGATGTTTTCGCATCCACCTGAATACTATGTAGGTAACTACAAGTAACTACAGGGAGATGCAGTTAACTACAAGTAAATACAGGTAGATACAGGTAACTACAGGGAGATTCAGGTAACTACACATAACTACAGGAAATGACAGGAAGATGCAGGTAACTACAGGTAACTACAGAAATATATAAGTAACTACAGGTAACTACGGGAAGATATAAGTAACTAAAGGGAGATACAGGTAACTACAGGGAGATGCAGTTAACTACAAGTAACTACGGGTAACTGCAGGTAGAAGCAGGTAACTAGAGGTAACTGCAAGCAGATACAGGTAACTATGTGTAGCAAGCAACAGTAAGGTAAAGGTAACTACAAATAACTACAGGAAGCTAAAGATAGCTACAGGTAAGTATTCACCTTATTTCTACGCCCCATGATGCTTTGCGTGAATTATGGGCGCGACTTCTGCAGCAAGCCAGAACTTCCATTTGTTTACATGTTACCCTGACGCTAACCAGCTACCCGCACTAGCATGTAGCTACTTCACTGACTCAGTTGCTTCAGATGCAGATGTGGCTTATCTTGAACTTGCTGCAGCCATGAACTAAATGTGGTCGGATTATTAGAGAACACCCACGAACAGCACAACAGTGGACCTTACCACAGGGGCCGTGTTTCATTGGCTAATGCCCATTTGACGTCACAGCGCAGCTACCACGTTGGTGGTCTCACACATAGACATAATATAAGGATAGACCCTCATGAACCGCTCTCGCCTATTGTCGCTGACGAGATTTAGGGCGGCCATCTTGG